AAACCATCATAGATAGCCATAGCTTACATACAAATTATTGACATCGCAAAAAGGGGTAACTAAGCTTATAAATATTGAAACTAACCATATAAGGGACAACTGGATTAGTTATAACTAATACTTAATCGTAATATTATCATTTATATAAAATGTATTCGTATTAATTTCAACGAGGACCAAGAGTTATAAGTATTAAATGCAAGATGCTATATGAATTGAACACAACGGCGTATTTATAAATTTCTATATAATGGGAGACTTCTTTTATTGTAACCACAGGTGGGGGAAATATCACTAGAAAGTCTTTATTGTTAATTCTATGTACCTAGACTATTGTCATTAAATCAGAAAAGAATAACATACTATACTGAAAAATTAACTGAACTATAGATAGAACAATTCACCTAAAACTTGAGCTTCTAATTGTTGGTTTTCGAGACCAAAATCACTATATAAAACATATCGTTATCTGCCTCATCATCTTTGACCAAATTTTTGATATATACAGATATAACAACATTTTATAAAGGACTTGTGATCTTAGAAACCAACCATAAGAGTCATAGTCTTTTTCACTTTTTCTTATGAACACTATATGGTTCAAACAGGCGTGGGTGACGTCATCATTTGAACAATCTAGCTTAAAGGGTGAACAGCTTAATGTACCATTTTGCTATACGCAGTAGCAGGGATTCAAATTCTTTTAACATAACTATATTTTAGAAATGTTACTTTAATATGGAAAATACCTAAACCTAATATCAATATTACAGTGATTACTTACGATACAATATGTAAGTTTATAAATATATGAAAATGTAAATGCTGCTACTACATTCATGGGACTTATTAAAAAACCTAATAGGAAAAATTCTTAACATAAAACTATGAATACAGTAAACATACATACATACTTATATTTCTTTAGTTACATTGTATACATATTATATCACAAATATATCGACTTCTGTGACACTTGAATATCATATTGTTGTCTCTGTTGTTTCCAAATAGAATGAAAGATGTGATAGTTGATCATCGATAAGTGAAAAAACTTTATAGACAAGTCATTGTAATGTCCTGAGGAACAATTTCCTTACCCAATAAATTCGGGTTAAAGAGAAACCTCTATTAGCAAGAATATCTCCTTCAACTGTATACATTATACAAGTGTCATTGCAGTCGGAACCCAAAGTTAAAGAAACAAACATATTAGCAGCCTATACAAATTACAATTTAAATACATCGCGGTTGATTAAAGTTTATACTATTTACTTTAGTAAGTATTGCAAAAAACTTGACAATTACAAAGACATGTTTAGGAACAAATCTAATAGTCATATGGGCAGAGTAGCTGGTTATAAATTATTCCGTAATTACATATCTTAATATTAAACAAAACATGCTATAATTGACGCGCAATTATGTATAAACATAAGTAATTAACAAACTTATTAATTTAATTGAAACATATTATCTGTGCCTTAAGATTGTTACACAAGTTATAAATAATTTCAGTTCATCTAGACTGCGGTAAAATTATAAATTTGTTCAAATCGGCAGTTTTTACAGTGTTTTATAAATAATAGTAATAACTATACACCTAAATAACAATTTAAATAGAAATAAAATATTTGACAGAGTGATTAAACTAGTACTTTACTAGCTCCTACAAATTAACACAATAAATCAAAAATAATTAATTTCTTATACCAATCTATCCTAGGTTTTTTAATAATTTAAATGGAGTAGGATGGACAAAACAACTAAATTATTAAAACAAAATTCTGTCTTTGACAAATGCAATCCAAACAATTAACTAAATAACTATAAACATGTTATATTTTTTTTGGATTTTTTTTTAAATTTCATTCATTAAAATTGGTTAAAGTTTTTCTATCAATACAACCTGTTTAGTTGACCTAGCATTTTTTTATATAAAAGTCATATTCAACCTTATGTTATTTAAATAATAAAGCAGGCTAGCAAGTTTCGAACATTATGTTTTAGATTTTATAAAAGAGTTCTCATAGTTCCAAAATATCTTTTTAAATGTTTATATTAATTGCACAGGAAACAATTATTTTAATTAATAGGATTAAAAATTTAGAATAAAATAAGAACATTTTGTTTATCATTAAAGAATAGTATAGAAGAGATTATTTCAAAGCTGTGAGCTCTCATGATATAAAAATCTAAACATAGTTCTGCAACTATAGAACCTAACTAAGGCTTTTGACAGTACAGTATAAATATCTTATCATTACCATTTTTTCTTAAATAAGAGGCTATTATTTGAAAAACAACAGTTAACACAGACACACTGTTATTAAGACCGATAATGCAAAGTTATCTCGACTCTTTTTCCTATTTTCTTGATATGTACATCACAAAGTTATTTTTAATATGATAAAAAAATGTATTGATATCATACAAATAATAAAAATGTAACTGCTGTTTTTCAAGTATGATGTACATAGGTTTATGTAAAGGAACATAAAATTTATATATAATTTAAGAGCTTCCTTTAAATTAAAAGCGCAATACAGTGGAATCTCTATTATTGGAACCATGTTAATTCGAAATCTTCAAGTGGAAAAAAATGTCGTTCCCTTCTGCTAAACTCTTTAATACTTTGAAGTTTGTTATATTACATATATTACCCTTAACATTTGGGATATCTAGATATTACTGTACCTCTGGGTTAGGAAACAGAGATCCTTTAGCCAAGAAATTCGTACTGTACGTAAGCACTATCACTGAACACTTAATCACTTCCAATACACTATGTTCAAAAGCACTATGGTTTCACTTGCGTCGGAGATAAAATCGCGCCATGTCTTGATAGCACTTTAGTGGGCTCATGGGCGAAGCATTCAAAACTGACATCCAGGAATAGTTCTTGCAGGAATCGACGCGCGCACAACATATACGTGTCCCGAGCGAGTAATACGCAGACGTCGGAGTAGACACATGGACTCCGGAATACCTCAGGATAGCGCTGCTTTAGTGATATTAATGTTGAACGAGCCTGTAAAATTAAAAGATTATGTAATTAGGATTCAACAATTTGAAGCAATTTGTCTCTATTAAGATATCTATGTATCAACAACAATTTTTTCCTTATTGTTTAACTTCCCAATGTTAACTTCTATGTACAGGTTACTAAGCATTTAAATAGTTCATCTATTTATCTATTTATTTTAATGTAACAATCAAGAACTACATACAATTTTTACTTTGTAAAATCTAACAAAAATAATGATCTAATGCTACACTTGGAATATCCCAAATTATTCATACAAAATATATAAAACACCGACCTGTCTTAGATGTATGGGGTTTGACATAAAATGCACATGATGTAAGACTTCTGCTTGAGGACACAATGTATCGCTTGCTGGACTGACAGACCTACTCCGAAGATCAGGAGGAGCGCTGGTACTTGGACTTTCCATTGCTAAAATAAAATAAAACATTGAAGAAACAGCAAAATGACAATACTGTTTATTTTTGCAAGCGTAAATTATATTCAAGTTTCAATAACGATCGTGTAAACTACTGCATTGAAGAAATCTCACCTGCAAAGAAAGCTTCACGCAACTCATGTGACGAAGGCGGTCGTGTTTTGACACAAGCCAAGCAGTCAGTAGTTGAATGCCTCCATCGAGAACCAGGTCCTGTGGTCAAATTGACCTTCTCTGATATTGATAGGTCTAAGGTACTTGGACCTTCGACTACTACTTTATTACCAGTCTTTTCCGGAGATGTAACCTTTGAGTCTTTATCAGGTAAAGTCGCAGACTTAGGAACGTTCTCTGGAAGGAATTTTGCAACATGATCAGGCGAACTAACTTTTTCAATGTTATCACTTTTTGTAACATTAATATTTTCCGTTGATGTTTCTTGTATTTTTTCCAAATTTAATGTTTTATCAACTTTAATATCATCGTACGATTTTCCTGTATCAATTTTAACTACATTCTTTATTTCTTGTTTTGGTATTTTTATATCTTCAGGTATTTCAAAATTGATATTGTTAGTGTTGCCAGTTACAGTTGTTAAATTCACTCCTGTAGTCCGTGATACTGAAATCGGAAGTGTATGCGGTGTGCCATCTAAAAATATAAAAATAATCTTATCTATTATAATATGACATCCATGGCAAATAATTGTGTGACATCCATGGCAAATAAGTGACTATTTTTATATAATTTGAATTATATTATACCTTTATGATGGACAGCATGATGTTCGGGCGTGTCACTCGTTTTGTTATCTGTGCTGGTATACTCCACTGGGAACAGATTTAACCCGGTTCGACCAAATGGTACTCTTTTCTCAGTTTCACTGTCTTCTTTGCCATCTTCATCTCTGAGTATTAAAAATCAATATGTTAAATTCCTTGTGATCTAATTTTGAAGAACTCAGTTGAGAGAGACAGAGACAAAGTCCTCCAATTCGATGTAATTGCCCCCTACTTATAAACTGTCTATAATTTTCAGAAATCTGTGTATCCTGGGCTGTTTATTAGTAAGAAAAATAAATGAAATTTCCTTGTAACCTATTATTATATAGTTTGAAATAATGTACCTAGGAAAGAGTTCCTTGAGATCTTTGGGCAGACAGATGCCGATGTATGGCGGTGGGTGTGGCACGTGAGACGCGGGCGGAGGGTGCGCGGGATGCGCGGCGTGCGGCGGCGGAGCGCAGGGAGGATGCGATGGGCGGCGCGGGGGCTCGCGCGCTGTTGGAGGAGGAGAAGTCCGACCCCCTTCCGACAGGGGGAGTGGCTTCCAATCGTAATCAAGGAGACTGCAAGATTAAGAGACAATTTATAAATGTATTTTTTTCAATATTAAAAAAAAAGTTACATATTTCCTTGTGATATACATATGATAGTCAGATCATCCCATCCAAATGTGTAATATTCATCGCCTATCATAAAAGTATATTTGGATATACATGTTTTTATTGTATACAATAAAGATTACGTCAACAATTAAAACAAATTAAAAATAGTTAGGGTACCTTAGTTTGGTCATCCTCTCTCTGGTAGACTTGGCCCTGTCACGTAGGGAGGAGAAGGGCTTGGAGCGGCGCTGCGTGTCCGTCAGCAGCCACGTCAGGTCGTCCAGCTCAGTAGAACCCGACGCCGCGCTCTCCGACAAGTGCGGCCTAAACATTAAGAAAATAAATTTATTCCATCCAATATATTGGTTATTTGGGTGGTTAAAATACTAAAATATATATATCATCAATTTTCTAACCATACATTTTTTAATTGTTAAAAGTAATCAATATCTCATTAGAATATCAAAGAAATCAAAATGAATTAACTAACCTTCTATGTTTATTTATGGTCTTGAGTGTAGCATATCCTGACATGTCCATTTGTGTAGGTGGTGAACTGGCCACTTCACAAGTTGAAAAACCTAAAACATACATAAAAACATTGCTATCTCAGATTTTCTAATGAAAATAAAAGGGATGACAATATGCAAATGGATTCCATTTGATAAATTATCGTTTCCGCCTATAATTAAAGATATGACTTACTTGACGTGGAAGTTCTCCGTTGCGACTCAGAGAGGCGGGGCCGATGTGAGCTGCTGCTACTCT